ATATATATTACACCTATAAAATCAGTAAAACCAAATGAAAATCATCAAACCCAATGTTGTCAGGGCCATAGGGAAATAAGCACATACACGTGGTTAATGACAGTGTGCACTGAGTTTCTGAGGAGTGTGAGTAGCAATAGATGCTTAGAGCTATCACGTTACTTTTTCTTATTAAGCAGTTAATGCCACTTTTGGAAATGTATCACAGAGAAGTAACCCAAAAGAAGATAGTCCTTACAAAATTATTTATAGCTACGATGCACAGCAGTGAAAGAGGGGAAGCAACTCAAATGCACAGTGGTAGAGAAGAGTCGAATAAGTCAGTTAATATGATGGAATGTTATAAAGCCACCAAAAATGATTCAGTGGGTTACATAAATAGAAATGTCCATAAAATATGTAAATTATCAAAACATGTATTAAATCTATTTAAGACTGTAGATATAGCAAAAAGAATGAGATGGTCATGGTGAGACTGCTAGGTGGGAAGGGGTCCCTGGAAAAACTCCAACTGGCCTGTGCACTGGGATGGAGCCCCCCGGAAAAACTCCAACCAGCCTGTGCACTGGGGTGGAGCTTCGGGAGGTTGCGCAGCCTTTTGTAGCAGCGGGGAGCCTCGCCCCTCTTCTTTCTGTGTAGAACCTGGGATTCTAGCTGCTGGCGGAAAGCACTCTAGCGGGGACTTTGACCTTGTGAGAGTCCCCGTTTCCCCCTTTTTCTCCTTTTCACCCAGTAAAACCCTGTCTTACCATTCAAACCATCTGCGAGCCTGGGGCAGACACTGTTCTGTCTCCTGCTTCCAGTCCTGTAAAGATGCTAGGATCTTCCAGGGCATGACAGGCACCCTCAAAGGCAGATGTGGGGAGGCCCTAATGGTCTGACTGCAGCCTGCTGACGGGGGTGGGGTGTTGGTGACTTCTCCCAGGCTGCCGCTGGCCCACCCACTGTGCTGCAGTCCACCTGGTGCTGGGGCTGTGGGGCACAGGCCTTCAGGACCTACTCCCTTACCCTCCCAGGAGGTCCAGGCCTGGAGTCCTTATGTCCCCTGGAAAGCTCACTCCCATCCTCAGTTGCACGCTGGGCTGGTTTGGGCCTGTCCTGGGACACCCCTGCAGGCCAGGTGCAGCAGGGGATGTGGCTCTGAGGGGTTGCTGTGGGCAGGTTAACGTGGAGCTGGGTTCTGGAAGGGAGTTGCCACACTGCCTGCCAGCACACCTCCTCTGAGACAGGGGTGCCTTGTGGGACAGTGCACCAAAGTGCCCTGGGCACGAGGGGTCCCTGCACCCCACCCCACACACACCCTGCATTGGGGGGCCCTGGGCTGCAAAACCTATCCATGATGTTGCCATGCACCTGGCTCTGGTGGCACTGGGACCATCCAGGATGGGCTGAGCAGGGCCTCCCACCAGTGCATACTCCAGCACCAACAGGAGTGGGCCTAGGCAGGGGGGCAGGGAGTGACGCCCAAGGGGACCTACCCCAGCCTCCTCTTATACCCTGGGGGTTCTCGTTTTTCTTGGCTGAGGGAAGTGGCCTCTCCCTGCTGAAACCTAGGGTCAGGCTGGGCGTGGGAGGAAACGGGGTGGGGGGTGAGCAGGACCCCAGACCTTGGGAATCCTGAGTTGGGGGCACAGGCTCTGCCTAGGATGTGCCTGGGGGCCCAGGCTGAACCCCCTCCTGAGGAGCCAGGCTCACAGGTTGTTCTGTGGGACTCAATGGGGGGCAACGTCCTGGCCAGGATGAGGAAGACCATCACCCCGGGGTCTGCGGGAGGCATACGCTGGCTAAGCTGTCGCCTGCCTGGCTCCCCGATCCGCTGCAGCCAGTCCCTCAGCCTTGGCCGGGACCGAAGTCCGACCGCCATCCCTGGGGCTCCGCTGCCAGGCAGGCACCCCCCGCTTAGAGGCCATCCCCACCCCCTCCATCTGCCCTTGTGTTAGCGACAGCCACCTTGTCCTGGTGCCCTGGTTGAGGGAAGGAAGCTGCCCTTGCACCCCTGGTTTCGGGTGCAGCCTGAGCGTCGCATCGGAGCCGCCCGGCCCCCCTCTGCTGGCCGTTATCGGAAGTGCAGCCTGGTGTGAGCCTGCCTTTCCTGGAGATGGGACCCAGGGCAGCACCGCTGGAAACGGGGAGGCGGTAACTCGTGGAGAAGTCCCCCACTGTCCCCTGACAGCGGCAGTAGTAACTGCGGACCATGCGGACTCCAGAGAGCCCCAGCCCATGTCAGCACCAGGAGCCAAAACCGAGTCGAGGGCTCGGTGCGGGGACCAGCCGGGGGCAAGCCTGGGGAGCCTGGATGGCAAGTGGGGCAGGCAGGCGCCCGCACTCAGGGACTGCCTGGGCCTGCAGGGGCTCTCCATTCAGAGCCAGGGTGCGACGGGGCTTCCGCCCTGGAAGGCAGAGTGCCAGGTCTGCCCTGGGCTTCCGCTCAGCCAACACAGGCTAGATGAAGGTGGAGTCCAGAGGTCCCCCCACATCCTGCTGGCTGAGGGCGTGGGTCTCAAACAGAAGCTGCTTAAGCCGACTTCTCCTGCTCCCACTGCATGATGCGCCCACTCTCCTCGGTCACCTCCCGGGTGAGGCGTCGGTTCTGCTCCTTCAGCATAAGGATAGTCTGCTGCTGTCAGCCCGGGGACGAGGTGGACGTCAGGGCAGGGCAGAGGGGCCCGGAGGAGGACGTAGGCAGGGCCCGGCTGGCACAGGCCGCAGCCAGCAGCTCTCCCAGGCACCGAGCCACCTCCTGTACCTTGGGCAGTAGCCGCCCCAGTGGGCGGGGGCTCCCTGCAGCCCCAAAGTCGGTGCTGTCTCTGCTCTGACCCAGGCGGCAGTGGCGCTCCTGCACTCGTAGCTGCTGCTGGTACCTGTCGCGTCTCTGCCATCATCTCCAAACCCTGCAGCAGCACCTCCTTCTCCTCTCCAGCTCCTTCATCTGCTTCAGCAGGCCGCAGTCCACGCGGGTGGTGATGGTGTGCCTCTGACTTCCTCTCGGGCACTGAGTCCGCCTCCAGGGCCCTGCAGGCGGATGCACCTGTGTCCGCGCTCGCGCTCTGGGACCGCTCAGGCTGCGTGTGGCAGGACGGCGCCTCGGCTGGGGCGCACAGCTGCTCCGGGCTGTGGACCGCGCCGCCTAGACCTGGGCAGGGGCTTCTCCAGGACCGTCCGTGGCTCGTTGTCCAGCGCAAACCCCAGGCTGGGCCGGGGCGCACGTGGAGTCCCGGGGGCCGCAGTTGGCGCTCACCAGCGAGGTGCGCAGGCCGGCCACAAAGCGCTGGAAGGTCAGGTAGCCGCCGGCCGTGGCCACCTGGCACAGGCCCTCCAGCATCCCGCGGGGCAGGTCCTGCGCGTCGGCGCCCTGCCAGTGGGACTGGATCTCGCGCAGGTGCACGCAAGCCGCGCCGCAGGTCGTCCAGGATGTCCAACTGGGTGCGCAGGCTCTGCAGGAAGGCGAGCGGCAGCCCCTTGGTGCTGGGCGCCAGCGCCGGGGGTAGGCACGCAGCCCCGCTCGGCCGCGTCGGCCCAGGCCGTGGGCGCCCGGGCTCTGTCCCGCGCCCCTCCCCGCGCGACCCCACAGCGGGGCCGGCCCGGCACGCTCAGCCAGCGGCAACAATAACTTTTTTTTTTTTGGATACATGATTTTACTCTTTCTCAGGCTGGAGTGCAGTGGTGTGATCGTAGCTCACTGCAGCCTCAACCTCTCGGGCTCAAGCCATTCTCCTGCCTCAGCCAACTCAGAGTAGTTGGGACTACAGCCATGCACCCCTACGCCGGTTGATTTTTGTATTATCGCATCCAGTAGAAAGATGCTTTGTGTGGTAGCCACATTTCTAAAAAGCGGTATGCAAATTGAGATTGTCGAAAACATTCTAAAATGTAACAGAAACATAGAAGCAATGAAAAGATTATCAGACAACTTCTTCCTTCTCCATGGAGCTCAGAGGCAGCTTCCATTGTGATTAGAATTGTGGGCTTGGCCAGGCGCAGTGGCTTACGCCTGTAATCCCAGGACTTTGGGAGGCCAAGGCGGGCAGGTCACCTGAGGTCAAGAGTTCAAGACCAGCCTGGCCAACATGGTGAAACACTGTACTAAAAACACAAAAATTAGCTGGGCATGGTGGTGGGCACCTGTAATCTCAGCTACTTGAAAGGCTGAGGCAGGAGAATCGCTTGAATCTGGGAGGTGGAAGTTGCAGTGAGCAGAGATCAGGCCACTGCACTCCAGCCTGGGCAACAAAGAGTGAAACTCCATCTCAAAAAAAAAAAAAAGAAAAGAAAAAAAAGAAAAAGGAAAAGGAGTGTGGGCTTTACAGTCAGAGAGACATAGTTTCAAATTCCCACCCTGCTACCTGCTGTCTGTATGATCTTGGGCAAATCATTTAACCTCTCTGAACCTCAGCCCCCTCATCCCTAAAATGAATAGTATTAATAAGAGTATCGATTGCAACCAGGCGCGGTGGCTAACGCCTGTAATCCCAGCACTTTGGGAGGGAGAGGCAGGTGGATCACCTGAGGTCGGGAGTTGGAGATCAGCCTGACCAACATGGAGAAACCCCATCTCTACTAAAAATACAAAATTAGCCAGGTGTGGTGGCTCATGCCTGTAATCCTAGCTACTCGGGAGACTGAGGCAGGAGAATCACTTGAACTCGGGAAGTGGAGGTTGCGGTGAGCCAATATTGTGCCATTGCACTTCAGCCTGGGCAACAACAGTGAAACTCCATCTCAAAAAAAAAAAAAAAAGAAAAAAAAATATGAGTATCTATTGCATAATCTGAGGATTAGAGAAATGTGCTTGTAGGGCACACTGTGTAGTACCTGGCTCTTAGTTCTATTTTCTGTGAGTATGAGATCATATTTAGTAAGTCATGTATACACTAAGTTAACTGCTGGAAAGGGGGTTAGTGAGGATTCCTTCATAACTTTAGAGATAAAACAGGATTTTCCTATTGCTTCTTTTTTGGGATTCTTTTTTCATGGGAAATATTGTCTTTTCTGCTTTGTAGATACCATTGAAATGGATTCCAAGCATGTGCCTCGAGACAAGTTGGCCTGCATCACCAAGTGCAGCAAGCACATCTTCAATGCCATCAAGATCACCAAGAACGAGCCGGCATCAGCGGATGACTTCCTCCCCACCCTCATCTACATCGTTTTGAAGGGCAACCCCCCACGCCTTCAGTCTAATATCCAGTATATCACGCGCTTCTGCAATCCAAGCCGACTGATGACTGGAGAGGATGGCTACTATTTCACCAATCTGGTGAGTAAGTGAGTTCGTTGCGTTGTGGAGAAGGACTAGGAAGGTGGTGGTTTTGGGGATGTGACAGGTGACTCAGGCCTGTGACAGGTAAATGCTCCTGTTTGAGAAGGCAGCATGGCTGAGGAAGCTCATTGTGTGTCAGGGAGCACAAGGACCAGGCCATACAGACACTCTGCCTTCCAGCACTTGGTCAGAGCTTGTGTTTGTCCTGCGGAAACAGATGACATGCGTTGGGTATCACTCCCCACGGTCCTGGGTAGAAGAGTCCTTCACTTGACTGGGCCTTTTCAACCATGAAGAAGGCAAATCTTGCACTTTAATTCATTTTTATAGAGGATCTAAGATTGATTTTTTTGTTTTATTTCTCAAGTTCTAAGAATTGAATACTGAGATTTTTTTTAAAGGTCAGTTCAGAGGATGTGAAATGATTTTCAAGTATTATGTTGTTACAGTGGTTATTGATTATAGGCAAGACAGTATCTAATTTTGTATCAGTTAATAAGGCTGAATACGTCCCACCTTTTTTTTTCTTTTATTTATGTATTTTTTTTTTCTACAGAGTCTCACTCTGTCACCCAGGCTGGAGTGTTGTGATACAATCGTAGCTCACTGCAGCCTTGACCTCCCAGGCTCAAGCAATCCTCTCACCTCAGCCTGCTGTGTAGCTGGTACCACAGGCATGCACCATCACACTGGGATAATTTTTTTTTTTTTTTTAGAGATGGGGTCTCACTGTGTTGCCCAGGCTGGTCTCATACTCCTGGGCTTAAGCAGTCCGCCCACCTCAGCCTCCGTAAGAGCTGGAATTGCAGGTATGAGCCACTGCTCCTGACCTGAATCCTTTCTTTTTCTTCCTAGTAAACTCTGCTTATTTGCTTTCAACTGAATATACTGTGAAGCTAATGAATTTGGATCCTTGGGGCAGCTTATGGACTTGGTTTTTTGTGTTGAGAGCCTGGGAACTAAGAGGTGGGGAGGGGAAGCCAGGATACATAGGGGGCATTTCTGATAAATTGCCAAAAAATGTCTCAAAACAGGTACTTGAATCTCTGAGACTCTAAAAATATATCATGATTTATTTCTAGATTCTAAGTATGTATTCACATTTATACCTACTTTTGTATTTGTCACTTTTTTTCCTTTTCCTGTAAGTAGATTCCAAAAGTTGTAGAAGCCTCAGGTTCCTCCAAACCTGGACCTGCCCCATCACTCATCACCCTCCACCATTGTGTTCAGCTACGTGTTACTCTAGTCACCAGCATCTCGGGAGTGTGATTTGCAGGTGGAGGGACTTGGGAATGCTCTTGATCAGATGCTTTCACCTTTATTCACACTGTTTTCCATCCTCCCAGGCACATGGTGGTTTAATCCGTAGTATTAAAAAAGTTTAAGTGGCCCATATAGAATGAGATTAGAAGTACTCGTATATCTTTTTTATTTTGAGATGGAGTCTCTCTGTTGCCCAGGCTGGAATACAAAGACGTGATCTCAGCTCACTGTAACCTCCGCCTCCTGGGTTCAAGCGATTCTCATGCTTCAGCCTCCCAGGTAGCTGGGATTACAGGCGTGTGCCACCATGCCTGGTTAATGTTTGTATTTTTAGTAGAGACAGGGTTTCACCTTGTTAGCCAGGCTGGTCTTGAACTCCTGGCCTCAAGCAGTCCACCCACCTCCGTCTTCCACAGTGCTGGGATTACAGGCATGAGCCACCACACCTGGCCTTATATTTCTTAATATAAATGAAACATACACTTGCTTGCGAGGGAAGAGCCTTTTGGATTCAGCTCTTTATCCAGAGTGGGTCAGACAACTTGGAAGTCCCTGAGAAGTGTGAAGTTGGAGACATGGCAGATAGTGAGAGAAGTGAAGGAGGACCAGGATGCATTCGAGCATAGCCACAGTCAACTGACAGTAGAGGTGGCTGACTCGCACACACACAGCAGCTTCTAGGGCCCTTGGCCTGCAGCCTTAAGTACATTTGTGCCTTCCCTCTTCTTCTTCTTGCCTGACTCAGAGTCTGTCTCGTCCCCTACACCCACTGCTCCAGTGAAACTGCTCTGGCAAAAGTAGAAAGTTTCCAGCTGACAAACCCCACGGACACTCGATTTAGTAACCTAAGGAAATCATAATTAGGAAGCTGTTGCCTCAGATAATCTTATCACATGTTCAAAAAAAAAAAAAAGGTAAAATCCCTTTTGTTTGGTGTGCTTTGTTGAATACTTTCTACCATTGCTCTTATCACAGCAAACATAATCTTGTATATAGTATTTTAGCAGCAGCATTTTATCTGAAACTGTGAGTTAAATCCTTAAATACAGACATTCTGGGTTGGTCCTCTATCAGGTTCTGAAAATGAAAAGCCATGTATTCAAGTAATTGAGCATCTTCTACAGAGTTTGTATTTCTCCTTTGAATGTCAGTTTCTCATCATGAAGCATTGGTGGCGTTACATTATCAATTATTTGAAACTAAGACAGTTCAGCGTTAGTGCAGATATTAATAGAATGTTTTACATTTCAACTTTATTATCACCAGCAGATCTTCCTTCGCTTCTCATAGCACTCTCCATGAGTCCTTTGTTCTGCAACTTGTTCCTTGGCTTCCACAATCCCACTACTTCCTTGTCTCTTTGTAAAGTCTGTGTCTTCTACTTCCACCTTGAATTGTGTCATTCCCTGGGACTCTATTGTCTCTGCATCTCTTCCTCACCATCTCCTCTGTCAAAGAGCTGTCACTCACCTGTGCAGTGATGACCCACAGCTCTGTGTCACCTGTCTTGACCTCACACTTGTATCGCACCTCAAATATAATTTGTTCAGAGCTACGTCCCCTTCAGATGTTTGTTTCTTTTCCAGTATTCTTTATTCCTGTTAGTGGCCATGCCATGTCTCCATTCACCTAAGTGAGGAGTTAGAATCACCTCCTCTCTCCAGTCACAGGGGCCACAGCAGCTCCACACACACCATGAGCCAGATGGGCGTGCGCTTCCGTTCTCCTCGGATGAATCACGTTTTTCTTTTTCTTTATTCCTTTTCTCTAGAGGTGAGGTTTCTATCCTGACTGTTGCCCAGGCTGGGCTCAAACAATCCTCCCACCTCGGCCTCCCAAAGTGCTGGGATTATAAGCATGAGCCAACACACCCGGCTCAGATGTCTGTTGAATTGGGCATTTGCAGTGGCATTTCCGTACTAGTAATTGCTACCGTGTATTCATTGCCCACTGCAGGCCTCTTGGAAGCCCGTGACATGTGCTATGTTGTTAATTCTCACAATAAATCTGGATGGTATTTCCCCCCATTTACAGGTACAGAAACCTCAGAGAACTTAAGTAACTTTCCCAGGGTCACTCACTGTGGTTGTTAAGTGAAAAGAGGTGACAGTCAACTCAGGTTCTGTTGCTTCAGAGCTGTTCTTTTAACCAGTTGATGTTAAAATATTTATTTGAGGATCAGAGGTCCGTGTGCCATACCAGTGTCTTGAGGAACTACACCCACTCGGGGACTGTATCCTGGGTGGGGATAGCAGGTCTGGGAAAACTCAGACAGAATGGCTTCATGGTGCCCCTGGGGAGGCTGCACCCAGACGTTGGCCCCAGAGCTCCTGGGAGTGTATAGGAAGCATGACCGGGGATAGGAGTAGGTAATTTTCCAGGCTGAGTTACATGGAAGTTCATGAGTCTGTTTTGTTTACTTTTGCTTCTATTTTAAATTCTCTGTGATCAAAAAATTTTTACAAATTGATTGGAGTATGCGTAGCTTTCCTAATATGACTGTATTAATGTCCTCTTCCTGTAGTGCTGTGCCGTGGCTTTCATCGAGAAGTTAGACGCCCAGTCTTTGAATTTAAGTCAGGAGGATTTTGATCGCTACATGTCTGGCCAGACCTCTCCCAGGAAGCAAGAAGCTGAGAGTTGGTCTCCTGATGCTTGCTTAGGCGTCAAGCAAATGTATAAGAACTTGGATCTCCTGTCTCAGTTGAATGAATGACAAGAAAGGATCATGAATGAAGCCAAGAAACTGGAAAAGACCTCATAGATTGGACAGATGGAATTACAAGAGAAGTTCAAGACATTGTTGAGAAATACCCGCTGGAAATTAAGCCTCCAAATCAACCGTTAGTAGCTGTTGACTCTGAAAACATTGAAAATGATAAACTTCCTCCACCACTGCAACCTCAAGTTTATGCAGGATGATCACAGTTTACATGGAGAGTATTTATTTGAGCCTAAATTGTAGGTAGCCCTTACTACACTCAACTGATTGGGATCTAGAATGTAACTAAATTGCTTATAAATGTCAGAGCATTTTTAAAGGTACAGTATATGGGGATTGTTTTGTTTTGTTTTTCCTAGCAGGGGAAGCTTAGTTAATAATAAAATACTATTTATTTGAGTTACTGATACAGATTCATTTAAGGCTTGTGTGCAGATTTTGTCTCAATCTTTTTTCCCTCCATGATTTTCCTATGTGCTTCCTCTGGCATTCACTGTGGTTTGGTAAATAATTGCCTTTTAAAGGACAAAACAAATGAATGCTACAAAGTGTATGTCCACAGTTCGAAATAATTTTATAATTGTAAAGATAGAAATTATATTGATAAGTAAATATGTAAAATTGTAAATATGTAAAAAAAAGAGTGGTGTCTGCTCTGCATGACATTTTATTTGTTAATTTTTTAGTTTAAAATGAAATATATTGAATGTTTGCCTTTAGCACCATTTTATTTGGTTTGTCCTATTAAAATGACTCAAGAAGTGTTTAGACAAACTCCCCTAGGTCCTCCTGACTTCAGGTGATCCTCCTGCCTCGTCCTCCCAAAGTGCTGGGATTACAGATGTGAGCTATTGTGCCTGGCCAGTTTCTGACAGTTCTGGAAGGTGGGAAGTCCAAGATCAAAGTGCTGGCAGATTTGGTGTCTGGTAAGGGAACCGTTTCTCATAGATGGTCCCTTCTCACATGTCCTCATATGATGGAACGGGCAAACAAGCTTCCACAGGTCCCTTTTATAAGGGCACTAATCCCATTCATGAGGGCTCCACCCTCATGACCTAATCTTCTCCCAAACGCCCCACCAGTTTAAAAAAATTTTTATGTTAGAGATGGGGTTGGCTAGATGAGGTGGCTCATGCCCCACTTTGGGAGGCTGAGGCAGGTGGATCATGAGGTCAGGAGTTCGAGACTAGCCTGGCCAACATGGTGAAACCCCGTCTCTACTAAAAATACAAAAATTAGTTGGGCAAGGTGGCACGCACCGGTAATCCCAGCTACTCTGCAGGCTGAGGTAGGAGAATAGCTTGAACCTGGGAGGCAGAGGTTATAGTGAGCTGAGGTGGCGCCACTGTACTCTAGCCTGAGTGACAGAGCAAGACTCCATCTCCAAAAATAAATAAATAAAATAAAAATACAAAAATTAGCCAGGCATGGTGTTGCATGCCTGTAGTTCCAGCTACTTGGGAGGCTGAGGCAGGAGAATTGCTTGAACCCGAGAGGCAGGGGTTGCAGTGAGCCAAGATCACACCACTGCACTCCAGCCTGGATGACAGAGTGAGACTCTGTTCTGAGCATGAAGCCTGAAGCCTGTGAAGAAGAAAAGAGCATTCTGGGCCAGGTGTGGTGACTCACATGTGGAATCCTAGCACTTTGGGAGGCCAAGGCGGGAGGATCCCTTGAGGCCAGGAGTTAGAGACCAGACTGGGCAACACAGTGAGACTCCTGTCTCTATAAAACATTAAAAAAATATTAGCTGCGGCCGGGCGTGGTGGCTTATGCCTGTAATTCCAGCAATTTGGGAGGCTGAGGCAGGCAGATCACTTGAGGTCAGGAGTTTGGGACCAGCCTGGCCAACATGGTGAAATCCCGTCTCTACTAAAAATGCAAGAATTAGGTGGGTGTGGTGATAGGTGCCTGTAATTCTAACTACTTGGGAGGCTGAGGCAGGAGAATCGCTTGAACCCAGGAGGTGGAGGTCACAGTAAGCTGAGATTGCACCACTGCACTCCAGCCTGGGTGACAGAGTGAGAGTGAGACTTTGTCTCAGAAAAACCGCAAAAGGTTGGGTGGGCTGGGTGCGATGGCTCGCGCCTGTAATCCCAGCACTTTGGGAGGCTGAAGTGGGAGGATCACCTAAGGTCGGGAGTTCAAGACCAGCCTGACCAACATGGAGAACCCCTGTCTCTACGAAAAATACAAAAAATTAGCCAGCTGTGGTGGCACATGCCTGTAATCCCAGCTACTTGGGAGGCAGAGGCAGGAGAATCATGAACCTGGGAGGTGGAGGTTGCAGTGAGCTGAGATTGCCCCATTGCACTCCAGCCTGGACAAGAGCAAAACTCTATTAAAAAAAAAAAAAAAATTATCTGGGCACAGTGGTGCGTGTCTGTAGTCCCAGCTACTTGGAAGGCTGAGGTGGGTGGATGGCTTGAGTCCAGGAGGTTGAGGCTGCAGTGAGCTATGATGGCCCCACTGCACTCCAGCCTGGGCAACTGAGTGAGACCCTGTCTCACATAAACACACACACGTACACAAAGGAAGAATAAAAAAAGAAAACATTCTTTTTGCTCGGGAGGTATTTAGACGGTATCATGAGCTTGTGTTTCAAGCTGTGTGTTCAATAAATCATTTCTGCAGGGACAATGACACATTGTGTGACTTGGCTCTGAGAGCGCCTGCTGGGCCTGGGCCGCTGGGGAAGGCTTCAGGGGACAGAAGACATTTCAGCTGGATCAAGGCCAGGCAAAGGAAAGGCAAGAACCAGCCAGGCAAAAGGCCTGGAGGTGTGAGAGGCTCTAGAATGATCTGAGACTGGTGAGTGAGGGCGGTGGCCTGGTTTGGCTGGAACCCAAGGCTCCCTGGGGGACAGGGAAGAGAGCTATTGGGGTCGGGTCTGGGTCTCCGATGCCAGACTCACACCTGTGGGTTTCCTCCTGGAGGCAGTGGAGGCTCGCACGGCTGCACTTAAGCAGGAACGGGCAGGTCAGAGCTGGGGAGGAGAATGTCTTCTCACTGCTTCGTTTTATTTTTCAAGTGCCAACTTCTTAATATCTGTGAGTCAAACACTGTGCTATTATTGGGATTGTGGCAGCACCTCTAATTGACAGCTTTGGGTTTTTTTTTTTTTTTTTGGCATGTGTTTTTGAGGCAAAGTCTTGCTCTGTCACCCAGACTGGAATGCAATGATGCAATCATGGCTTACTGTGGCCTGTACCTCCCAAGCTGAAGTGATCCTCCTGCCTCAGCCTCCTGAGTAGCTGGGATTACAGGCACACACCACCACGCCTGGCTCATTTACTTTTTGTAGAGATGGGATTTGGCTACATTGCCCAGGTTGCTCTTGAACTGCTGGCCTCAAGGAATCCTCCTTCCCACCTTGGGCTCCTGAAGTGCTGGGATTACAGGTGGGAGCCACGGCACCCAGCCCTAATTAATGTGTTTTTTTTTGCGAGGTGCAGTGGCTCCTGCCTGTAATCCCAACACTGGGAGGCCGAGGCAGGCAGATCACTTGAGGTCAGGAGTTCGATACCAACCTGGCTAACGTGAAACCGTGTCTCTACTAAAAATACAAAAATTAGCTGGGTAGGGTGGCAGGCGCCTGTAATTTCAGCTCCTCAGAGGCTGAGACAGGAGATCGCTTGAACCCAGGAGGCGGAGGTTGCAGAGAGTGGAGATTGCGCCACCGCACTCCAGCCTAGGGAACAAGGCGAGACCTCTGTCTCAAAACAACAAACAAACGAACAAACCACCACAAAAGCAGTTTCTTTTTATTTTTTTTAAAGCAGGCTGAACACAGAGGTTCATGCCTGTAATCCCAGCATTTTGGGAGGTCACTTGAGTCGAGGAGTTTGAGACCAGCCTGCAACATAGTGAGACCCCCGTCTCTACTAGAAAAACAAAAATTAAAAAGTGTGTGTGCGCCTGTGTGTATGTGTGTGTGTGAGTGTGTGTGTGCGCGTATTTCTCTGGTCTTTCCAGCTTGGATCTTTCTTGATGTCCTTTTCCTGTGCAGAGGAGGTCTGGTCTGAGCAAACCTGACTTGTTGGGACCCATTTTTGTTTTTCTTTTCAAATATACCTCTGTTACTCTCTTTCAAACACATGAGGGAAAACTGGAAGAGAAGCTCTGCCCAGCCCCAAGATGCAGGGTTCACCTGGGGCAGTGCTCAGGGGCTTGAGTCTCTCAGTCTGGCGGTCTCCTCTGAAGTCAAACTTGGTGCTTCATCTTTTCTAATTGTGCAACCCTGGACTCAGCCCTTCATCTTCCTGAACCTCAGATTCTTCATTTGTGAAGTGAAGAAATAATATTTACTTTGCAGGGCTGTGAGGATTAACAGAACACACAAAAGTTCTTGCATAATGGGCCGGGCGTGGTGGCTCATGCCTGTAATCCCAGCCTGCTTTAAAAAAAAAAAAAAAAGAAACTGCTTTTGTGGAGGGAGGATCACTTGAGTCTGGGAGTGGGAAGCTGCAATGAGCTAGGAGCACGCCACTGCACTCCAGCTGAGTGACAGAGTGAGACCCTGTCTCAAAAAAAAAAAAAAAAGATTTAAGGGCTCTCTTATTTTCCAGGAGATCGGTGTAGTTTATATTCTTTCATCTAACTGGCTCACATTTAGTGAGTACCTTGTATGTCCTGGATGTAGGCACTAGGATAGAACGGTGGATGAAATGAACACAGTCCCTGACTCCATAAAGCATAAAGCAGGCAGACAAGCAGAAAATAATGACACAGAAAATAAGGTATTATAGGCTGGGAGCACTGGCTCACGCCTGTAATCCCAGCACTTTGGATGGCTGAGACAGGCAGATCACTTGAGGTCAGGAGTTCAAGCCCAGCCTGGCCAACATGGTGAAACCTCGTCTCTACTAAAAATACAAAAATTAGCTGGGCGTGGTGGCGCGAGCCTGTAACCCCAACTGCTTTGGGGGCTGAGGCAGGAGAATCACTTGAACCTGGGAGGCAGAGGTTGCAGTGAGCCAAGATCCCGATGCTGCACTCCAGCCTGGGTGACTGAATAGACTCCACCTCAAAAAAAAAAAAAAAAAAGTATTATACTTGATATTAATAAAATAATATTTATTTACTTGAGATAGTGTATTGCTCTGTCACCCAGGCTGGAGTACAGTGGCACAATTATAGCTTATTGCAGCCTTGAATCCCTGGGCTCAGGTGAGCCTCCTGCCTTGGCCTCCTTAGTAGCTGGGACTTAGTAGCTGGATGCCCACCATCATGCCCAGCTATGAGTTTTAAGAATAAGATGAAATTTAAAAATTACAGGGCAGGGGCCAAGTGCAATGGCTCACACCTATAATCCCAGCATTTTGGGAGTCCGAAGTGGGAGGATTCCTTGAGGCCAGGAGTTTGAGACCAGCCTGGGGCAACATAGCGAGATTCTGTCTTTACAATAAATGAGAAAA